GAGGATGGTTACACACATTCTCACAAACTAGGATTTTGTCCTGGTAACAAAAGTAAAAATTGCTATTTTTAAAGTATGTTGATGCACTAAGAGATGTAATCAAATGTTTGTCAAACAAATAACTTGCAAGAAGAGAAATAGACCCATCCCTTAAAGTATCAGCACCAGGGAAAGACAATTTATGAGAGTTAGTAAATGGGGCATGGACAATAACTGTAAACATTGCAATTTTGAGTTTATATGCAATTCACCACAAGAACTAATTTTAGCTTAGAAACAATGTCATATTGCATAATAAAATTTTGAGATAATTTCCATTAAAGTATTAGTAGAAATGCAGATCTTTTATTTTCTCAAAAATGTGATTTTACAGCTTTGCCCATTTAAAAATGTAGAATTTACAGCAAAAAGTTGAAATTGAAAAACATAGAATGGCAAGCAAATAATGTTAAATTATAAAGAGAAAGAATGAAAGGTAGTTTAGAATCGGTGAAGATTTCATGTAATTAATTGGATTTACATCAAAGAAAAAAAACCTATATTCAATAATTGATTTGAATAAATCCACTACTGAATTTATTATTAAAAATACATTGATGAGAAACTCTAATAATGTTTATTATTTATCTGTACAAACAAATTAAAACTATTCAAACAGGGAAGAGAAAATGGCTCAAGTAATTCACCAATTTCTAAATTTTGTATCATGCTAATAGTTCTTTTGGCAACTTATCAGGAACTGGGTCTCCTTCAAGTCTTTTGTCAATCAAAAACATTCCTATACAAAACTCGTTTCTATTTAAATATCCATCTTTATCAGTATCCAAAAGATCCCTTAAATAAAAATCCAAACAAGCATTAGTTTAAAATAGATAAATAATATAATGTGTATTTAAACTTAATCCTATTACCATATCTTATATAAAGTCTTGTTGTTTAATCTGCTCCTTATATATATTTCTCTAACTACAGCAGCTAATAAATAAAGACATCAGTATTTACACAAAATTATATATTTAACATAATTATTAGTCAATAATAAAATTACCATCAATAAGATCTTCTTTATTTGAATCAAAAACTAGTTCATATCGTTTTTTTGCATCTGATGGAATACCTTTTGTTAATTTACTTTTCCAATTAATTGTATAATACATTAGAAATTTTGGTTATTCTCCTAAAATAAAATTTAAATAAATACACACCACTGTATTGAGGTGGTCTATGTGGAATTTTGATTTCTGAATCAGTACTTAATCCATGATTTTTTCTTGAGGGCAATGGTGGTGGTGATTGTGAGGATTTTATAGCTGCAGTAAAGTTTTTTTCCAAGTTATTAATTAAACCATTTTCATTCTTTACAGTGTTATGAAATAAATAAATTTAAAAAAATTGGTCTTTACCAGAAATTTTCTTATTACCATATGGAGATTTTTCAAATTCCCCTATTTATAAATTCAAAATATTCAAATAGCATTATTTTATTATCAATTTAAGTTACTATAACTAAAGACCAAAATTATGATACCTTTAAGTTGAGAAAAGTTATTAGATATTCCTTGTTGTACAACTTTTACCAATTGATCTTGTGTTGTTATCTTTGCCTTTTCAGAATTATCTGTATGATTTTCAGCTACTGATTTTGTCTTAATTTTTGAATAATATAAATCAATTTAATCAATTTTGTTAATAAAAGAATTCAAAAAAAGCTTGAAAATGTACAAATGAAGTAGTACTTGAGTTTGTTGATGAAAATGGTCTTGGTGGTGTTTGTGGTGCCAATGAATCATTACTATTTGAACTGGCACTAGAGATTGAAGGTGTATTTGATAGCTTTCTTGAAGGTAATGGTGGTCTTGAATAAGGTATTGGACGATCCTTTACCAAATTATTATTACTATCACTATTATTGTTGTTAAATTTGTTAAATAAATTTGTTTCAGATTTATTTTGAATTAATGGTTTAGATGCAATTGGTGGTGGTATCATTGAAGGTTTGGAGGTTGATAAAGAAGTTTGAGATTTTTTGATCATAGAAGGTAATAAAATTGAATCATCATTATCATCATCATCATGTTTGAATCCTTGTTGCTTTGTTGGCTGTTTCTTTTGTGGCACAAAAATAGTGGTGGCTGATCGTGATTCTGTTTTTTTATTAATAAAATTATTATTTGTTTGTTTTATAAAACTTGAAGAAGAATTATCAACAAGACTTGGTGATAATTTTGATCTAGGGTTGATAGAAGGTTTTATTGGCAAAGTCTCATTAGACTCAAAAACAGCTAGTGTATTCTTTGAAATTTTTCTAGGCTTTCCTATTGATATTCCAATATCTGATTCTGCTTGCCAAATAACCATCATAACAATTATTATTAGAAATTGCTAAATATATAAAAAAAGTTATATATTTATGCATATATACACTACCAGGATCTTTAATTGACCCACTAGAACCTGTTTCAAATAAAGGTAATTTATCAATTTCTTGTATATTATTATTAGAATTGGTACCAATTTTGCAAGGAGGTATTTTTGGTGGAATTTTCTGAGTTTGAACAAAAAGATCAGTTATGATTATATAAATATATATATATTCCAGAATCAAAATATTATTGAAACCTTTTCTTCAATCAATTGAACATAATTGCTTGGAAATAATCCTTTTATGTTTGAATCTTCTTTTCTTCCCTCTAACCAACCTTCTTCATTTGTTTTGGTAACTATTTAAAAATATACATACATATATACATATACATATAAAATATTGTGTCAATTAAAGGTACATCAAATTAAAATAACATCTAACTAACCATCAACAATTATATCTCCTTTTTTGAAAGATAATTCAGAATCATC